CATATCTATTTCAGTCTCTTCATATCTATCTATTTCAGTTTCTTCATATCTATCTCTCTATTTCAGTCTCTTCATATCTATCTATCTATCTATCTATTTATTTATCTATCTATTTCAGTCTCTTCATATCTATCTATCTATCTATTTATTTATCTATCTATTTCAGTCTTTTCATATCTATCTATCTATCTATCTATCTATCTATCTATCTATCTATCTATCCCTATGCAAAATGCATACACATACATACTGTCAAAGAAAAGAGTGGTGTTTTTTTAATTTCTATGAATAATTTTTACACAAAACATTATTAAATCACTGATTTACAAACAACATATCACCACTTATGTTGCGTAAATAAGTTTTAAATGAGCAAATTAACCACCATCATCTAAACTCATAGTTTTTTTAAGTGTCAATTAGTTGACGTATTTGTTCGGAATATAAGACTCTTTTCGCATTTATATATAATATTCCACTCGGCTTGTTAGAATTACTGATAGTCTTAAGCGTCCGGTTGAAAATTAGTCTTTTATATACCTCAGTTTCGTATGTAAAATATGGCGGACATTTTCTCAGACGTTTTTATAGAGTCGGGGAGAAAACATACGTCGTTTTCGTTCAGCAGAATTTAATTCAGAATTAATATAGGGACAAAATGATCAATTAAAAATGAAAATGTATTCGATCTCGAAGTAAAAATATCAAATGAATTTTATTTGGAAAGAACTGAGATAAAATATCTTTGAAAGTTAATAATTAACTTGCAAGAGTGTTGCCAGTCATATGAGTCTTGTTAGGGATATACTTTTATCATTCAGGTTTTGACATTTATTGTCATCCATACTTTATTTGTCCCATGAGACGCTCATAGCATGTTTTTATCACATATGAGAAAGGAAAGTCTAAGATATCTTTCGTGGTTTTATTTAGAGATATTTATTCTTTTTCTATTCAAATCTAATTAAATTATCCTGAAATCTCGGAGATTGCTGAGGTAACTCCTGGCCTCGGCATAATCGTAGAAAAAACGAAAAACGAAAACGCAGTGTTAACCTAATGGGAAGTGTATATTCATCTCTTTCTCGAAGGCATTACTGCGAAGTGAAACTACTTCAAACAGAATTTGAACTAGGTTCACCAATTTAATTCTCTGGGCTTCTTAACTTCCAAGCCAACTCCACAACTTCACTCTTTTTTTATATATATTATTAAAACAAAAGATAATTCTAAAATGATTCAAATTTGTCAAAGTGACATCAGAAAATACACTTTCCCGTTACCACAACAAGGCGGTTAAATCTTTTTCCAGCTGTCCGTTAAAATTATTGGCACCTGACGGTCAGTCTAGTAATTGAAATGTATTCCAGAAGATTACAGAGCTTCAAAGAAATTCGAAGAACTACATAAAATATATTTATTCTTTACTGTTCCGTTTATATTGACAGATTCAACTAATTAACAAAAAAATCGGAAGTTGTTTAATTTACTTCTAAATAGCACCTGATATATCTTGTTATTTATAAACAAAAACTGAAAAAAAGACTTAGTAAATATGAATAACTCAACATGAAGAAATGACTAACACTCAAGATACGCATTCTATAATGATTTTGAAAATTAATGGGCGTCCTACTCGTTCAAAGTGATGGGAGACAACTATATTATATACTTAGAAGAAGGAAACTCTAACAGAAAAACTACGACCAGAGAACACTACTGCTAACGTCCACTCTCGTTGAACTACAGAATGTAAATCCCGCTCCTTCCAACCTAAAATCTTTTAACACAGGCCTGAAGGCTATTCAACTTGTCCTTTGCAGCCGATCAGTTGGAGGGTGTGGCGTAAAGTATTGTGAACAAACCTCGAAAATATTTATTCTTAAAACCAAGGGATAGTGCTACATGTATGAAACGTTAAGATAAGCTTAGCGAATATCAATTCTTGCAAATCTGACATTTCATCGTCAATATGAAAGCGAAGAACGTCTATATTGAAAGAAACCATGCGATTTTAGAAGGCTTTCGGTTTGCAATAAGTGCGAAATTAATCTGTTGCAAGAGGCGCGCTTAGTTTGGGCGGCAGAGGAAAAGTAAACAAGGATTTCACATCGAAATGTCATGAAAACAAAATCTGTTATTTTGAAGAAATAAAATCGGCTCGGACGAAGATGTCGAGTCACAAGAAAAGTGACTTACGATCCAATTACGACAGAACTATCAACATTGATCAGTCAAGTAGAACGTCGTATTAACCAAGGGTGAGGGAGTGTTATCTATCTATCTATCTATCTATCTATCTATCTATCTATCTATCTATCTATCTATCTCTGCCTGTTCATCATCTATCTCTACCTATCTAACTATCTATCTGTCCCTGTTCACATCTATCTATCTATCTATCTATCTATCTATCTATCTATCTATCTATCTATCTATCTATCACATTCTATTTATATCTCTATCAGTCTGTTCATATCTTTCTCGGTGTTCATATTGATGCATGTCTGTGAATATGAGTATATGTTTATGCATAGATAGATAGATACATAGATAGATAGATAGATAGATAGATAGATATAAACAGACTGAGATAGATAGATAGATAGATAGATAGATAGATAGATAGATAGATAGATAGATAGATTAGAACAAACTGATAGATTATACGAACAAACTGAGAGAGATGATACGAGCTGACATAGATAGATATGATCAATCTGAGATAGATAGATAGATAGATAGATAGATAGATAGATAGATAGATAATCTACGTTCGTCTGTACAGATGGATGGATCGGATGAATAATTCGCGTCACATTGATCGATTGCTAGCACTCTCCTTGTGTAAACTATTTCTTCGTAGTAAGCGTTCTGTGAATATTCCATGCCACTTTCTTGTGGCCTTGTACCTGACTAAACTGTTCTAAATAACAAACAAAACTCACACATACACATACACATACAAACTCGCACACGTACGATTGACTAGAGAGATAACTGAGCGACAATTTCTAGAGATCGACTAATAAATCTAGGATTACAATAATATTTTGTTTGCATCTATAATAATTTCTTTTTCTAACTGTTGTGTCATTTGATACTAACGCGAGGTTCGCCAATTACTCCATCTGTCAAAAAGGAACTTTTTTTTTACATATTCCTACACACGATAAAAAGATTTTTATGTTTTTATCGTTACTGATCTACTGTAAAGAGGTTAGACGTAGTCCGACTTAAGGCCAAACAGTTCGAATATTCTGACGTCACTTTGAGTTAGACGTTAACTTGCCCTCTTTTTTTGGTATCTCATAAAAAATCTTTGCTAATTACATCAAATATACTTCTTTAAAATGTTATTAGAGAAAGCGATGGCCATAGTTAACGTCTTTTTGCAATACGGTCTGGTGCTTCTGCATTTAGAGATTTTTGATAAAATCTAAATACGAATCAGTAACATTATTGGACCTGACCTGACGTCTCGGCTTCAGCTATTTTCCAACTGCCGTAAAGTTGATTCCCTCTACTTTGTCTAAAAATATTTTCATGGTAATTATTCGGAAGAAGACTTCGCTATGATTCATAGAATTTATAAATTTAAGAGAACTATTAGATTGAGAAGAAGACGTCATCATTTTACAGTTGATATGGCTAGGAGCAACCGTAAGTTCTACGTTATCAGTATCTTTTCTCACATTTCTCGCTTGTGGAACTCGTTTCGAACTCCATGCTTTCCAACCAACTTTGATCTTCACAATTATAAAGAAAATCTCAATCGTTATCTACCGTCTTCTTGATTCCTCTTCTATTGCTCTCACTCTTTAATAATGTTTCTCTTTCTTCTTATTCTTTCACACTCAGTAACCCCCCCCTGTGTCTTAGTGGCTTTACTGCCTTGCATGGAATGAAATGATTTAAAAAATATGTCCTTACCGCTGTGATGAACCGAAGCATCGGTCAAATGCCATTATCGACACGTCCAACAATTTCAGTCTACCCAAATCATCTGCAATGTCCTCCTTTCTGGAAACTTGGTATCGACTAAGCTAAGTTAATGCAATTTTGTAAGATAAGAACTTGATAATATCTAATTGTCTATTCTTGCATAATTTACAAGAAAAGACGAACAGAGAATGTTTTCAAGATTTTTTTTATATCTAAACTAGTTTAGCAATCAGGGAAATATTGAAATGACTTTACAATTACATTGTACTTGTAATATATATTTTTTGAGGTTATTTTTTTTTTCAATCAGAATAGTACCTATCAAAACTGACGAGATTATTTGCAAACGGACTGACACATTTACCGGAATCAAAGTAGATGTGAAATCTATGCACTTAACTTTATTATCCCATATTTCATAATCTCAAAGACTCTTGATTTTTAAATCATTGAAAGTAACATTTTCCTCCTAAAAACGGCAACGCGAAGCAAAAAAATGAAAAGCAATTATTCATGTAGTTGTTACAGTAAAACTGATTGAAGTGAATCCATCTTATAAGCAGTATCTCTTTACACGCAAGAGGGCAAGTCAACAGTGTACTTAATAAATCTACCAAGTTACATAGTGTTTATTATTATAGAATAGATAATTTATTATATAAAATATAATATTTCAGTAACTTTTCAATTCAATCATCTTCACATAGTTGATATTAATAGTTGAATTTTGACATAACAAAAACATCGTACGACCAGATCACGTTGAAATTCGGGTTCCAGTACGATCACCGATGTTAAGCAACGTCAGGCCTGGTCCGTACCTAACCGCTTGGGAATAACAGGTGCTGTAAGCTTGGAAGTGCGCGTGGCGTAATCTACAATGGTTCGAATTTGTTAATCGGAGAGCCAAGTTTCAATTCCCGTTGGGTTCTTTGTATTCACTTAACGCGAAAAGGGAAAGGAATGAATGCACTTCTTCTCCTCCCGATTATGGGTTAATTAGTAAGACTTGCATCCATAAACCATTATCCACAAAAAAAATCCTTACAATCTAAAAATATTTTCTGGCTTTAAATAGCCTGAAAAGGGTTGATAAACCGTAGAAAACGAATCAATCAATCAGAAAAATATAATGTAAAGCAATCGTAATCATTTTTTGGAGTCACCAGTCTTTATTATTATTATTATTATTATTATTATTATTATTATTACTAAGAAATCTAGCTTCCGTTGTTTCTGTTGATTCTCTCCCCACAGATAAAGTGACGACAAGTCTGCACACTATTTGAGAGATCCTTTCATTATTTTTTACGGTTTTCATTGATGCTGTCGTCAGGATTGTTTCTATTTTGCCGCAGATTTGCAATTGTTTCAATGTCTTTGCAAGGCACATCGAAACTATTCCGAGCAATTCAATGACGATGGCTTTGTTTAACTGTCACCTGTCTGCACCATAGAGGTTTTTTTCCCTCTCTAGCTATTAATCAAGCTTTCAGTTTCCATCTGTAAAATCAACACCAACTAATAGATCTTTTCTCAGTCAAGAATTACTATATCTGCTCTCCTGGCTTGCTTCTCTCGTTAAAAACTAAACTCTCATTGATTATCATCATTATTATTATTATTATTATTATTATTATTATTATTATTATTATTATTTCCTTTGATTTCTGGTGTCTATTCATTTCTTTCCGGGTCCAGCCCAGAGACCTAAGCTCAGAAATGACATCATGAGATTTTCTACTGAGCAATTAGAAAGGAAAACAAAAAACACATATTTTACATAGATAAAGCCCTTCGTAAGGTGTTGAGCTATACTCGTGAGAACAATTCTTTGTATTTCTTTAAGGCATGGGCTTGCAGGAATCCCTTCAATGAGTCTGTTGGAATCTTTTTCAACCAGTCCGAGAGCTCAAATTAGAGCAGGAATTGTTGATGTCCTCATATGCCACATTTTTGAGATTTCGATCTCAAGGCCCGTGTATTTTGATAGCTTTTTGAAGATCTTCAAATATACATTGCAGTCTGCAGTGACTGCCATATCAATAAGGAGGCAATTTTTGTTTTCAGTCTCTAATAACGATGTCTCGATGATTAGCTTTGATTGTTCTGTTTGTGCGAATTGCGTAGTCACATAAAATTGTTACAGGTCCTATTTCCGTAACCGGGTTATTATTATTATTATTATTATTATTATTATTATTATTATTATTATTATTATTATCTTTGATTTCTGGCGTTTACACATTTCTTTCCGGGTCCCGCCCAGGGACCTAAAGTTAGAAATGGCGTCATGACACTTTCCACTGACAAAAAAAAAAAAAAAAAAAAGATTACATAGATAAAGCCCTTCGTCAAGTGTGGGCTGTACTTATCAGAACAATTTATTGTATCTCCTTGAGGCATGAACTTCCAGGAATCCCTTCAATTAGTCTACTGCAATCTTTTCCAACCAGTCCTAGGGCTCCAACTACAACAGGGATTGTTGATGTTCCCATATGCCACATTTTCGAGATTTCTATTTCAAGGTCCTTGTATTTTGACAGCTTTTTGAATATCTTCAAAGATACATTGCAGTCAGCAGGGACTGCCATATCAATAAGGAGGCACTGTTTTTGTTTGTGGTCTTTAATAACAATATCTGGGCGGTTGACCTTGATTGTTATTATTATTATTATTATTATTATTATTATTATTATTATTTTCTTTGATTTCTGGCGTTTACACATTTCTTTCCGGGTCTCGCCCAGGGACCTAAGGTTAGAAATGGCATCATAACACTTTCCACTGACAAAAAAAAATTTACATAGATAAAGCCCTTCGTAAAGTGTGGGCTGTACTTGTGAGAACAATGTTTTGTATCTCTTTGAGGCATGGACTTCCAGTAATACCTTCAATTAGTCTACTGGAATCTTTTCCAAACAATCCTAGGGCTCCAACTAGAACATTATTATTATTATTATTTTGTACGGTTTGTCTGTTTCCACCGGAAAACTTTCATTGCGAGTGTTCTACTTCAAGCCCTACGACCTCAAACAGAATATTTGTAACGTAGACTTCTGAAGCGATGAAATACGCGATTTTATTCCAAATTCCTTTATGTGGAACTTTAACATTGTCGATAGCGACTCCAACGTCTAAATGACAACTGGGGGTAATATTAGTTTGAACATTCAACATGCTGGCAACTTCAATTCGGAATTCTGCGTATTTCTTAATCTTTTCAATTAATTTTGACCTTGAAATTTGGGTCACCAGGAACAGCCACGCCTAGGAGGATGCACTTTTTTTTTCCTAACGAGGGTGATGTCTGGTTTCGTGACTCCAAGGACGCAGTCTTTTTGGATGTTGAAATATCACAAGATTTTGTCATGGTTGTTTTGATCATCTTCTCTGATTTTTGGCGGTACCATTTCACATCGACTTCAAGTCTATATTTTATTCATAGTCCCCAAGGAAGATGGGAGGCGATTTTCTCCTGTTGTAATAATAATAATAATTATGTTGGTGTTTCACATTATTGTCAATGAATATTTTGTTCTTCATGCATTGGTC